ATATCATATTGCAGGCGTGAAGGCATCCTTTTAAAAAAAAAAACAATCCTCAGTAAATTATACTTGTCTTCAACTATTTTGCTCTGCTTACATCTGCAGCCAAATTTGCTATATTCTGGTAAAATGACTTTTTTAACCAAGTACTGGTGGGATGATGGCATCTTTGCAATTTTCATAACACTGATGCAGAACAAGCACTCCACCGTTTTGACGGTGTGGTTTTTTTTTCAGCTTCACAGCCTAGCCTCAGGGCTCTCCAGCCAGGTAACAACTAGTTTGAAGACAAATGAAGACAAAATCTGAGTCAGCTTAATTTCCTCTATTATCCGCCATTTCTCCTCTGAAATTGCTCAAATATTGGATTTCCTTGCAAGGAGAAGAGGTTGTGACTGGAGGACAGGATGAACTGCAAGCAAAACGGGAGGACGGGATGAATTGCAAGGAAAGAGGCTACAATGGGCACTTAAGAGGCAAAACGAGAAGTTTCAGAGGTCAGGAAGACATTGCTGCCCTAATGAGGCTCGGCTGGAAAAACACATTTTTTTCTTTCTGCTTGGCAGGGCAGATTCAGGCTGAGCAGAGAGGTTATACTGGATCAGTGTATGATTATCAGCCTTACTGTGGAGGAAAGAGTTAGAATCAGAGTATCCTCAGATTGAAAGGCACCCTTGAGGTCATCCATCCCAACCCTCCCTGTTCAGAGCAGGAATTCAAACTGAAATATGCCAGGGAGCTCGTTAACTAGCTTCCATCCAATGGAGGAGAACCAACACCTGATTTATGATTTCTCCATTGCATTTATAGCTTGTCTTTCTTCCAGGAACTCAAGCCCTTTGCTTCTGTTTTTCTTCACAACAGCCCTGTGTGGGAGACTTATCTAAGAGAAAATGCCTACCCCAAAGTTTCCATGATAGAAGATTGATCCTGATTCTCCCTAGTTTTAAGGGCAACACTTTCACCACTATATTACTATGGCTAGGGGTTTCTATAGGGAAGGTGGTCAAAAAAGTCAAAATGGCAGCCAAATCATACAAAGACCCTTTTTAAGTGTATCAGATCTTTCTGTGGATGCCACTGATCCTGGCTTTTGAACCAAAGAGGATCTTTTTTTAAATCCAATTGCTAGCCCAATTTTAAATAGGTTTAGCAACTTGTACATGGTCCAAGATACTCATTCCTGATCTTTATGCTCTATCAATGTATCCAGTGGTAAATTAGGGTGAGATTCACTCCAAATCAGTCACTTTACTTTGAAGCCAAGGGAAGATTTTAATCTAGGATTTTTCTAGTCAGATTTCATGATTGCCTTGGGAAATTTGCACCTGTTCAGGTTCAAGTGAGCATCAAATAATAATACTTCAAAAGTTTCCTGGATGGATAGTGTCATACCATGATTTAAGCACTAGGTGGAGCCAAGCTTGATTATTTATTAATCCGATTCATAGAGCAGCCCATCTCACAAAAAATTCTCTGGGCACTGTACAACAATCATTGTGTATAGATAGTCCTCAGATTATGGCCTCAATTGGGACTGGAATTTTGGTCGTTAGTCATGACAGACATAAATCAAGGCATCCACCTAACCGGATCCAATTTTATAACCATTTATATGGTGGTCATTAAATGAGCCATGCAGACATAAGTTTGAATCTATTCTCCTGAATGGGCTTTTCTTTCCCCAGAAACTGGCAGAAAACAACACAAATCATGAATGTGTGACTATACAGGATGTTGCAATTAATCGTAAATGGGAAATGTGGAATGTGGTCCTGTGGCTGCATGGGGGGGAAAGGAAATGACATTTTATGACAGTCAAAAATGTTTTTTGAGCTATAAAGCATGCTTCTGAAGCTGTGGTAACTCCAAACAGTCGTTAAGTAATCGGTCATAAGTCGAGGACTACCTACAGGTTGGAATGAGAAGGCTTTTGTTGGTTTCGTTCTTGTTTGAGAACGTTTTTCTTCTTCTAGCGCTTTCCTCCAATATGCTGATGTTCTCTTGAGTGTCCTCTTTTTCTACTGTCGAGCGTGCAACAAAATGCAACCACATGGAGAAAAATAATGCGTGGATTTTATTGAGCAGAATATTCATAGAAAAGGATCTGTGACAAAAAGCTAAAATACCAATCTCCTGGTCTCTTCTTCTTTGCTTTGTAGCTTTCTCGCTGCAGTTGCATGCAAAAAACCCAGAGGGCAGAAATTTTCAATTTTAAAAATTCCACTTCCAGTGTGTGCCTTGAATCCAACAGAATTTAACAGAAAACAGAGTTGGAAGGGACCTTAGAGGTCTTCTAGCCCATTCCCCTTTTCATGTAGGAAACTCTATATTATCCCAATCAAATGGCTATCCTTAAAAACCTCCAGTGATGGAGCAGCCATAACTTTTGAAGGCAAGCCATTCCCCTAATTAATTGTTCTAACTGTCAGGAAATTTCTCCTTGATTCTAAGCTGGTTCTCTTCTTGATTAGTTTCTCGTCCTGCCCTCTGGTGCTTTGGAGAATAGTTTGACTCCCTCTTCTTTTCGGCAGCCCATCAAATAGTGGAAGACTGCTATCATGTCCCCCCTCGTCCTTCTCTTCATTAAACTAGACATCCCCAATTCCAGCAACCTTTCCTTATATGTTTTAGCCTCCAGTCCCCTAATCATCTTTGTTGCTCTTCTCTGTACTCTTTCTAGAGCAGTGGTTCTCAACCTTTTTAATGCCGCGACCCCCAACCGGTTGTAAGTCGAGGACTACTCAACTGGTGCAGCACCGTTTGCAGAATGGGACTTTTGGCAGGCTCAGCAGGGCAGAGACAGCCTGGACAATTCCTATTGGCTTTTGAAAGCCAATAGAATTAGACTCTATTCAAGAGAGTCTAATTCTATTGGCTTTCAAAAGCTAATAGAATAAAAAGGAGTAACACAACTAAGGAAAAGGGGAAAAAAATGGCGGACTGCATTGTTTGGCGATCCCCGTGAAATGGTCATTCAAACCCAAATGGGGTCCCGACCCACAGGTTGAGAACCACTGTTCTAGAGCCTCAACATATTTTTTATATTGTGGCAACCAAAACTTAAATCTAAGTTTTAAAATTTAAGCATCATAAAAAACAAAGGGAACAAATTCAGTGCTGAGGAGATTGTGTTAACTCCCTAAGACAAGGTGGGCAACAGGCCAAGGGCTGACCTCCGAAAAATCGATGGATTCAAAACAAACTATTAAAATGCCTGCCATTTCTTTTCAGTTAAAATGTAATTAAGTTAAACACAATCCGTATCATCTTAAAAGGGTGGCCAGTCTTTTCTGAGATTGAAACTAAGCAGGAATAGGGCTGGATGGGAGGCCACAAAGTGATCCCAGTGCTTTAGGCTAGGAGGAGAATTTTTAAAAGGTGCTGGAAGAAGATAGAGGCGACCCGCTTCTATCTTGTGCTAAGAAATCCACGTGGATACATCGATGTAGGAATTTCACAGTTCGTGTTTTGATTTCTTCTGCATTACAAACCTCCTGTTTGCTTTAAACCTGTCCCCTCGGAGTGAGATGGCGGCAAACACATTTAATAAAAAGTAAATGGTTGGAGAAATTTAAATGGGCACCACCAATCTTGAATCTAAGGCTGTCCACCAGACTAACAACTTTGAGGAAAGATACCCATTTTGGGGCAGCTAGATCAGTGCCTCAGCCACTTTAATATGTGTGGACTTCAACTCCCAGTTCCCCCAGCCTGCTTGTACAAATTTCAGTTCCCATAATTCCTCAGCTACCACACCTGATCTTCAACTCCCAGAATTCTACTGGGAGTTGGATTTAGTTGAAATACCTAAATTTCAACTTCCCAGAATTCCGTGGCCAGCATGCATAGACTTGAACGCCCAGAATTCCCCAGGAAGCACATGTGGACTTCAACTCCCAGAATTCAAAGTTGCTCAGGCTGAGAAATATTGAAAAACACTTCTTTCTCCTTGTGCATTTTCTTGTTAGTCAGATTCCTGTGTTTCTTTCCACCTCGATGCTTAATGCAACAAAAACAGCACTCCTTCTCTTCTTCCTACAACCACCCTGCGAGGTAGGCTAGGTTGCGCTTGAGAGACCAAAAGGGCTCTCCAAATATCAGTGAGCTTCCACCACTGCGTCAACATGACCCGCGACTCTTCAACCCCAGTTCCCCCAAAGTAGAGTATGATGGAGCATGTGCTTCCTTCCTCCAGATTCCTTCTTGGGCCCCCACAAACTGGCCCAGTTGCCTGGAAAAGGAAGAACCGCCCCCACCCCCCGGTTCCCTCCGTCTCCCTCTCAGCCAGATCCCCGTTACCTTCAGGACTCGCAGCTGGAAGAAGGAATCATCAAAGCCATGAGAATAGTGACTGTACGGCGCGCACACACGCATACACGTGGGATTCCCCCCTTCTTCCCCACGGGGGGGGGAGTGGATTAGCCCTCAGCCAATTGCCAGGTTCTGGGGCTGCTGGAGGGGGAGGGGGGCGAGACTCTGCGGGTGGGGCCGAAAGCCCCTTGCTAGCAGTTCCTGCCGTGTTATTGGTTCCCATCCTGCTGGTTTAAGGAACCAGAAAGCTTCCTTTCCATCTCACACGCCTGCCTACCCAACCTCTAAGACTCAGAAGCGCTGAGCTTTGGGGGGGGGGGAGAGATGCACCCCCAGAAACCTGGAGGGGCAGCTTGGCTTTGATTCGGAATCTCCAAAGGCGGGAGGAGAGACGCACAGCCACACCTGGGAGAAAGTCAGAATTCTTGCCAAGACTAACCATGAATAAAACCACCATCCTCCACTTTTTCACTGAGGACTGGGATGTCAACTGCAGCCTCTTCGACGCTCTGCAGGAGACCTTGGAGGGTAGGGTGGAAGAAGGGGCGCAGGACAGGGGCGGTGGGGAGAACCCCAGTTTGCAGGGCTTCGGCTTTGCACGCCTGAGAGAGCTGGAATGAATTTATTTTATTTTTTTCCCCTCCCTTCCATGTTTCTCTTCCTCCCGTTCCCTCCTCTTACGGGGCATTAAGGTCCATCCTGTCGGGCCACCACGGACCAGATTGGGACCTGCTGGCCACGGAGCAGCGCCGGGGATCTGGTGGCGCGACCTTGCCCTGAGTTTGTCAACGGAGTGAAGTACAACACCACTCGTGAGTAGCCTGAGACCCTTCCTCATTCGGAGAAGATGAGCCTCCACAACTGCAAAAATGTTTTGCCCATCTCCACCCAAGTTACTTTCCTATATAAATCTCTTCCCCCCCATCCAGATGTGACTTATAATCAGTTGGGTTTCTTGCAAGTTGATGGGACGTACTTAACTTTGGAAGAAAATTAAGGCTGCTGTTAACAATGCAGGAACGTGCATCCTCGTTCCAAATTCTCTCTTTGTATGGGTGTAAATGGGTGTCTTAGGTATTTATGAGTAAACAATGTAAGGGTCCCAATTTCTGTAACGTGTAGAAATCTCTCTGTGAGTTTGTGTGCAAGGCTAACTCTATCTAGAACTCCTTTCACCCGCCCAGACAGCAAATTAGTCCCTGTTTCTCAATATTATGTCTGGTGTGGTTAATCTTCCTTCATTCTGAAGTGGCAAGCTTTGATTGAAAGAGGCCACAGTGCTGTTTCTAGACAAGCTCTTGAATTTCAGCTTTGCATTGCCAAGTGCCTAAATTGTCAGTTTGTATTCTGTATCACACAAATGTAAAAACTAGTTTTATTCGGGGAAGAAAGCCCCCCTCCCATTGAATTTGGATAAAATGACCATCCACAAAGAGAATGAATGTTTAGTTGTACAGGTAATCCTCGATTTACGACCAAAATGGAGCCCAACATTTATGTTGCTAAGTGAGACATTTTGTCAAGTCAGCTTTGCCCCATTTTATGACCTTTCTTGTCTTAGTTGTTAGGTGAATCACTGCAGTTGATAAAATAGTAACCCGGTTGCTAAGTGAATCTGGGTTCCCCATTGATTTTGCTTGTCAGTAGGTCACAAAAAGGGACACAGCAACGGTCGTAAATATGAACCAGTTGCCAAGCACTTGAATTTTGATCACATGACCACAGAAATGCTGCAACAGTTGTAAGTGTGAAAATTGTTCTTAAGTTACTCTTTTCGGTGTCGTCGTAACTTTGAACGGTCACTAAATGATCTGTTGTAAGTCGAGGACCATCTGTACATGTCTGAAAAGAGTGGGGAGAAGTATTTATTTGTGGCTGATACAGATAGTCCTCAACTTACAACTGATCACATATTGATAGTTACGATGGACCATAAAAACAGAATTTATAACCCAGGCTTAAAGGTCACGAGTACAATTTACATTTTTTTTCTAGTTTTTGGCCAAAACCATCCCATAGCGAAGAAAGGGTCTGCTTAACGACTGCAGCTGCCACAAAAAAGGTCTTAAAATCAGGTGCAGTCATGCGATGACCTACTTTACAGCCATCACCACTTAACGACCGAAATTGCCAGCTCAATTACGATTGTAATTCAACTACTTGTATTAGAATTTTTCTAGGGGAATGTTATTTGTGTGTGAAACTTAACATTTATGACATGGGCTGGTGGCAAAGTTGGACAGAAAGGCAGAATCAGGTATTTCTTCCAGGAAGGAAGAATTTCGTGAATAATTGCAGTTTTTCCATGGGACAAAATGAATAAACCAAGCAACATAATTACATAGCTGAGCCTTTAGGGTTCAATTTTTAAAAATCAAAAGGCAAGCGATTCTGGAATCCTTTTTTCTCATTTCCGAGTTACTGAGAAAAAGAGAGTGAAACAGCTTCTCCTTATGGGAAATGATTGTGTATTATTTCACACTGCCAAAACTTTCAAGTGCAGGATCTGAAAATGCATCCTGGTATTTAGCAGAACCCATGAACACCAAAGGCTGGAAATAAACAAGCCACGTTACAGATAGTCCTCGCCTTATAACGACCATTTAAAGTTACAACAGCATTAAAAAAGTGACCTATGACCTTTTTTTACACTTACCACGATTGCAGCATCTCCATCGTCATATGGCCAATGCAGATGCTTGGCAAATGGCTTGTATTTATGACAGTTGCAGGAGTTACGTGATCTCCTTTTACGACCTTCTGACGGGCAAAGTCAATGGGGAAGCCAGATTCACTTAACAACCGTGTTGCTAGCTTAACAACTGCAGTGATTCACTTAACAACTGTGGCAAGAAAGGTCGCAGGATGGGACAGAACTGATTTAACAACTGTCTTGCTTAGCAACAGAAATTTTGGACTCAATTGTGCTGATAGGTTGAGGACTATCTGTAGCTTATGATAGTGAATTCCAAGGGTTTTTTTAAAAAAAATATGTTATATAAAAATATATTTTCTTTTGTCCTGATTCTTCCCAGGGTTCCATTTCATTAGGCTACCTTTGATTGTAATATTTTGGGAAAAGGAAAATAGCTTCTCTTTTTCTACTTTATTCATAACATGCTTAATTTTGCGTGCTTAAATCATGTCCCCGCTCGTTTGCCTCCTTTCCGGACTTTGTTGTTGTTGTTAGTTGCAAAGTCGTGTCCGACCCATTGCGACCCCATGGACAACCTTCCTCCATGTCACAACTTTTTTCATCCTAGAAGAAGCTCTTCCAACCTCTGGATCATCTTAGTTGGCCTCCTCTGAACTGTTTATATCTCCACTTTTAACCCTTTGGGTTGCAGTGACCAGGAGCGTACACAATAGTGGTAGTCCTCGCCTAACGACCTGTCACTTAGCGACCGTTTGAAATTACCACAGACACTCAGTGGTATGAGTTGGTTCTGGAAGTCCATCAGTGGCGTACGTGCACACACAAACACACACACACACACGCACGCACAACATAGCCGTCTTTTTTTACCATTTTCTGGCAAATAGCAAACAGGAGTGCTATTGTTAAGCCTTTGCTTAAGAAATCCAGGATTTGCTTTACCAGTGTGAATGCCTTACTTCCATGGTGATTGCTTATTGACCGCTACATAAAAAGGTCATAAAATAGGGTCAGTCATGTAGGTGCCTCCACTGAACAACGAGCATGACTTACAACAGAAATTTTGAGCTCCATTAATGTCATAAATTGAGGACTACTTATATTCCAAATGCAGGCAGGCAAATTAATTTCTATAAAAGCATTTTTATTTATTAAATTTCTGTGCCACCCAGCTCACCAATAAGGCAGCTCTGGGTGGCTATATGATTATGATATTGATATCTGTGATTATCCTAAGCCTTTTTTTTCTTTCTTAACTCCTTTTTCTGCCTAATTCCACACTCATAAAACAATCTGAGAAATTACAAACCATGCTCACACGCGCGTGCTAATTCTCCAGAGGAAAAAGGGCCCTTTGGAATCTTCTTAAGGGTGAGAATTGGGGTCTGTGTATGTGTTTAAGGATGCTAAGGAACAATTATTCAGGAGGAATTATTCCAAGGGATCTGGACTTGGTCAGAAATATGAATTATATTGCCACACGCTGACCCTAAGACCTCCCCAAATGCTTAATTTAAAATTAATTTTGCAAACAAATATTCAGTGGATATATAATAACTGTGCTATTATATTGTGGCACTGCTTCCATCTCACTGTCTCCCTGAGATTCTCAAAGCCCACTGAACAGAATAACAGAGTTGGAAGGGACATGGGAGGTCATCTAGTCCAACCCCCTGCTCAGGTAGGAGACCCTATACCATTTCAGACAAATGGCTGTCCACAGCTTCTGGAGGCAGGTTGTTCCACTGGTTAATTGTTCTAACTATCAGGAAGTTTCTCCTTAGTTCCAGGTTGCTTTTCTCCTTGATGAGTTTCCATCCGTTGCTTCTTGTCCTGCCTTCAGGTGCTTTGGAGAATAGCTTGACTCCCTCTTCTTTGGGGCAGCCGCTCAAATACTGGAAGACTGCTATAAGATCACCCTTCTTTCCATTAAACTAGACATACCCAATTCCAGCAACCGTTCTTCATATATTTTAGCATCCATTCCCCTAATCATCTTTGTTGCTCTTCTCTGCACTCTTTCCATAGTCTCTACATCTTTTTTACATCGTGGTGACCAAAATTGGATGCTGTATTCCAAGTGTGGCCTTACCAAGGTGTTATAAAATGGTACTAACACTTCATGTGATCTTGATTCTAACTTGAAGGGCCAAAATGCAACATAGGAAAGTTTTCAAGCTTATAATCTGAATTTTGCTGAAACTTCTTTAAACGTACAACTCCATTGATTGTTTCAAGTGAACTTATTCTTTTTTTCTCATTTTTTCCTCTTGGTTAAAATTCCTTTCCTGATTCATGGAATGGATATAATTGACTTCTTAAAGAATAATATCTTATCTTGGCTTCCGATAACCATAGGTTGCTTCCACCGTAAACTTGAAGTCATCTCTCTCCAGTGCAGTTTTGCAAAGGACCTTAAAACAATCTTTTTCTTCATTTTAACCAACCTGGTTTGCCTCTGCATCTTAGTTGGCGACTGGGGCTGATTTAAATAATGGAACTTTGATCCAAGCCAGATCAGAAGCAATGTTTTAATGTCACCTTAGCTCAATAAACTACAGCTGAAATAGTAAACAGGCTGCCTAATTGTTCCTGCAGTCTGTGGAGTTTCATCCCCAGCCAATTTTAGAAAGTAAGGAAAATTCTTAATCCTAAATCCGAGTCAGGAAAAGAAGAAGCATCTGCGCGACATGGTTGAGTAAGATCTGTGATTATCCAGTGTCTTAGCTGGAATGGAGACTAAGATGGAAAGAGGCCACAAAACAGAAATTATTACATTGTTGTTGCAACTATGGAATGCTTCCATAAATCTGTTTGTTTGTAAAATTGCACTAAGTCCAGAGTTTTTTCAACAAAAAAACCCAGAAGGTATTTTTTCCCCAGAGAAACATATTATTGAATTTACACCATATGCTAGAATGAGGTGGTGGATTATGAGCTGTTATGCTGCAGGGGCTGATTGTCTTATGAGCCCATAAAGGGGTTTGATTTGTTCGTGGCTTGTTTTGTTTGGAGAAAGTATGTAATGTGAATGCAGTCGTTGGGATTTATGATTCCAGCAGGGGGCAGCACCTGGCTTACCTTAGAATACAGAATAACAGAGTTGTAGTATGGTCTAGTAGGAGACCCTATATCAGGGTTAGGCCACCTTGGCTCTTTTATGACTCGTGGCCTTCAACTCCCAGAATTCCTGAGCCAGCCATGCTGAGGGGAAAGGGAGAGGTTT